GTAGTCAATAAAGCATAGGTAAACATCCTTCTGGTACTCTCTGCTTTCAGCCAAGATCCATCGGACATCCAGGAGCTGCCATCTTGGGAGAGCATATCTTTATTGTATCAGAATTGATAGGATTAGGAGAGAACATCTTGATTGTATTTTGATTATATCAGGATTGTATCAAGATTGACATAGAAATTTAAAGAGACAGTAAAGACATAAAACCAAACGGCCACCACTCGTCTGTCTGTCATGCTGTGGTGGTTTGCGTTGCTATAGACAAGAGTAGACAAAAAAAAAAAAAAAAAAAAAAAAAAAAATCAAAGGATGGGAAAAAATGCATCAAACAAATAGCAATTAAAAAAGAGCAGGAGTGGCAATATTAATTGTTCATAAAATAGACTTTAAGGAAAAATATTATAATAATTAAAGGGTGACTTGAACATAACCATACAAACACATATGTACCCAATGAAAGAGCCCCAAAGTACCGAAATCAAACTTATAACAACGTTGAAAAGAGAAATAGACAACTCTACAATAATAGTATAAGACTTTAATACACTACTTTCTACAAAGGACAGAACAATTAGAAAAAAAATCAGCAAAGACTCTGAAGACCTAAACAATAGCATTAGCCAACTTAACTTCAAAGACACACACAGAACACTCACCCGAACAATAGCACAATAAGCATTCTTTCCAATGCACATGGGGCATTTTCCAGAATTTACCCAATGTTAGGCCATAAAACAAGCCTCAATAAATGAAAAAAAAAAAATCAAAATACTGCAGAGCATCTACTCTGATCACATCATAAAATTAGAAATCAACAATAGGAAGATAAAGAGAATAAAATAAAATTCTGAAAAGTATTTGCTTAAAAACTATTGAGTGAAAGAAGAAACTAAAAAATTAAATAAAAAATTTCCTTGAATCAAATGAGAATGAAAACACAACATACTAAATCCTTTGTTGTTGTTGTGAAGTGTTGTTGAGTCGTTTCTGACCCATAGCAACCCTGTATAGGGTTTCCAAGGAGCAGCTGGTGAGCTTGAACCGCTGAACTTGCAGTTAAAATGGTTTTGCAGTCTGGAGCATTAACCCACAGCACCACACCAGGACTCCTTTAGGACACTACAAAAGCAGTGCTCAGAGAACAACTTATAGCACTAAACACACACATCATAGAGAAGAAAGAGCAAAATCAACACCTTAACCCAACATCTCCAACATTAAGAAATATACCTGCCAAAGAAGCCTACAGTCACTAGAACAAAATAAGATGACAACAGAAATAAATGAAACAGAAAACAGAAAAACAATAGAAAGAATAAGACTAGAAGTTGGTTCTTTGAAAGAATTAAAGAGATTAAGCTGGTCACTGATGGATTTAACCAACTACCACAGTGAAAACCCATTCACTTAGACTGAGGGAACAGAGAAAGAATGAAAACCCACTTTCTGCCTCTTGGAATTCTACAGACAGGAAATAGGCCAAAGGAGCTGTATCCATAGTCCTTCAAGTAAAGGAGTACGGATCTCAGCAAAAGTGTTGGGAGGCACATGGGAAGCAAGGCCTTCTTGGCTTCAAAGGCACAGGTAGTATCAGGCAAAGCAAACCCAGGGTTACAGATGCTTACTTACTAATTTGTAGTGAACAATTTCACATTGTTTCACTATGTCAAAGATGAGTTTCTAGATGTGGATAACATCTGTTTCTCTCCCAACTCCACAGCACCTTCCTAAGAATATAAACCTCTTTTCAAATTTACATTCCCTGAAGGGACAGAGTACCCAGCAAGCAAAGGAAGCATGGGATTACTTGTGTTTACAGATATGTGGTGGAGTCCTGGTGTGACGCTGTGGGTTAATGCGCTAGACTGCCAAGTCGTTTGAACTGCAAAGTCGGCAGTTCAAGCTCACCAGCCACTCCTTGAAAACCCTGTTGTTGTTGTTGTTGTTGTTAAGTGCCGTCGAGTTGTGACCCTGTGTAGGGTTTCCAAGGAGTAGCTGGTGAGCTTGAACCGGCAACCTTGCAGTTCAAACGACTTTGCAGTCTGACACATTAACCCACAGCGCCACAGGGTTGCTATGGGTCAGAACTTGACTTGACGGCACTAAACAACAACAACAGATATGTAGTAAATAGTTACAAATGTTTTTCATCACATGCATAGGAAAAATATATGAACATTTTCCTTTTTAAGAAAAAATTTAAATTACCTATAATTACACCATTCAAATGTAAATGCTTTTAGAATTTTGGTTTATCTTTTTCCACTAATCTGTCTGTATATTTTAAAACTAGACAGAGATAAAAATGTGCAAGTGATTTTTTGCATCCCCCATTTTGTTCTTAATATATCCCATGTCCCCATGCTATTAAAGGATTCTTTGTCTCATTTTATATGGCTGCATAGTGTTACATCTTAAAAAGCTTGTGTTTTATTTTGGTAATAGTGTTACATTCCATAATATAAGTACTTTACTGTCAGATACTTAGGTGGTTTCTCAGTTTTTGTTTTTGTTTTTCTCATGCTGTGATAAGTACCGTTTTTGTATCAATTACCCACATTTATGATAAATTCCTCAGATGCAGGCAGTATTGTGAGTTCGGTTCCAGACCACTGCAATAAAGCAAATATCACAGTAAAGCAAGTCACACTGTTTGTTTGTTTGTTTCCCAGTGTATCTAAAAGTTATATTTACACTGCGCTGTGTAGTCTAACAACTGTGCAATAGCTTCATGAAAATGATCGGGAAATTGTGAGAAGTGCCAAAATGTGACAGAAATCCAAAAGGAGCACCTGCTTTCGGAAAAATGGCGCTGATAGACTTGCTCAACGCAGGGTGGCCACCAAACCCCCAGTGTGTAGACACCATAATATCTGCAGATCACAATAAAGCAAAGTATAATAAAGTAAGGTATGCCTATCTTCTCGTGGTTTTTAGATGCACACGTCAGAATTACTTTATAAAAGGTGTTTCAATTTATACTTCTGCCAGCAATAGATCAATGAATTCAGTTTGTGACACTGCCACTACTAAGGACTATTATGCATGTAAAAATACCCAGATTCTTTTCTCTTTATAGCATATAATCAGTGCCCAGCACAAAAACATGGCCTCACAGAGTAGACATCAGATGGGGACCACTAGTTTGATGGAGCATTTCTTGAAGGATGTGTTAGGCTCCACCCAAATCAGTGTCAAGAAAGCAGGTAAAGTAGCTGAGAGGTAGAAAATTAGTTCATAGTTATATGCTGCAATCACTGTTTGTATTTACTATTCTATTACTTCTCAAAGTGAATCTTTGCATTAAAACATACAGTTGATGTGAAACTTTATTTAATAATTTTCTATTGCAATTAGGTTTTTAGCTTATATTAGAAATTTCACTGCAAAGGATATATCTTTGTGGTGCTTGTGTACCACTTTGTCAGTTCCGACTGATAGCAACCCCTTGTATGGGTTTTGAGGCTGTAAATTTTGGCTGGAGCAGAAAGCCTCATCTTTCTCCCACCGTGTAACTGATTCAAACTGCTGACCTTGCAGTTAGCATTCCAATTTATAATGCACTATGCTCCCAGGTCTAAGGAGCTCTGGTAGCACAGTGGTTATGAATTGGGCTGCGAACCTTAAGGTCAAGAGTTCAAAACTACCAGCTGTTCCGTGGGAGAAAG